CCTTTTCCCTGCAGAGGGAAGGCAGGGAGGTCTCCACCAGGGTCTTGGGTTTCGACCTTTCCCAGCTGGAGAGGCGCCTCAAGTCCTCCTGCCGACACTCCTCCATCCACAGCCTCCGCTCACCTCCTCCCTCCGTCCACAGCCTCCCCTTCCATCCTCCCTCCATGTAGTGGTTCTCAACCTTCTGGCCCTTTAAATACAGTTCCTCATGTTGTGACCCAACCATAAAATTATTTTCGTTACATTAGTTACATTCATAACTGTAATGTTGCTACTGTTATGAATCGTCATGTAAATATCTGATATGCAGGATGGTCTTAGGCGACCCCTGTGAAAGGGTCGTTCGACCACCCAAAGGGTCGCGACCCACAGGTTGAAAACCGCTGATCTACAGCCTCCTGCTCACATCCTCAGGGCCGCTCTCACTCTGATCCCGGGTCTCAGAGGCCTTCACGATGACACTGGGCCCACCTGGATAACCTCCCTGCCCGAAGCGCCTCAACTTAACCACACCTGAAAAGTCCCCTCTGCCTCGCAATATCACGTGTTCCCAGGTTCCGGGGAACCTCGGGGGTCACCACTCTGCTGACCCCATGCGGGCCACCTTGGAGGGGCAGGGGGCTCGGGACCTAGGGCCTGGCCCAGAGCGAGGCGGTGGGGTCGACAGGCCCTCAAGGCCTCCACCCCCCTCAACCAGACTGCTCACCTGGAGGCTTCTGACCACCTCCCCTGGCCGCCCGGAGACCCCGCTGGGGGGCAGAAGCGCAGGCGTCCTGGGGCTCCCTGAGCCTCAGCTGCAAGATGGGGGTCCTGCGTCCCACCTGGAGTTATTTCGGGGTGCAAGGAGCTCCTCCCACCCAAGTCTGGATGTTGTGGCTGCTCAGCATTGCTGAGATCGGGGTGGGGAGCAGTGTGCGGGTTGGGCCAGGGCCCCCTCCAGGACCAGGGGGGTGCAGACCAGGGGGGCAGCTCCAGCCTCCGGGCCCTTACCGCCAAAACCCACATCGCCAGCCCCAGTGGGACGCGATCTCACACATGTCCTTGGGCAGTGGCTTCAAGTCACACCTGCGTTCAGACCCCAGGCCTTGGAGGCGGGTCTGTGGGGAGAGTGACAAGTGTTACCGGCACCCTGTGGACCCACACTCTCCCCTGCTCCTGCCTGGCTCGGCGCCTCCACTCTAACATCTAGGTGGGGCAGGTGCTGGGCTCTCCAAACC